AGTTCTACGGAAATAAAATTTTGGGCGATATCCTAAATTGTATGAAATATGACGTCTACCGTCTTGATCAATTAGAATATAAACTTCGCCTTTAAATTTAGTACATGGTGTAACTGATCCTGGTTTAGCAATAACTTGTTCACGTTGAATTTCCTCACTCTTAACTCCACGTTATAATACTCCAACGTCATCACCCGCTTGTGCTTCATCTAATAATTTTCTGAACATTTCAATACCAGTAACAACAACCTTTTTACGACCTATGTTAATAACAATAGTATCAATTTCATCATTTACTTTTAAAGTTCCGTGTTCAATTCTTCCAGTAGCAACTGTTCCACGTCTAGTAATAGTGAAAACATCTTCAACGGCTAACAGCACTGGTTTATCAACTTCTCTTTTTGGCGTCGGGATTTATTCATCCATTACTGTCAATAATTTTTTAATTTTTTCTTCTCACTCTTTTTTACCATCTAATGTTCTTCTTGCAGAAACACTAATAATTGGTGTATCATTACCTTCAAATTCATATTTAGTTAGTAATTCACGAATTTCCAATTCTACAAGTTCTAATTTGTCATCACCTGTACTTTCAATATCACATTTATTTAAGACTACAACGACTTTTTAACTGCAACACAACGCGCCAATAGAATATGTTCACATGTTTGTGGCATTGGACCATCAGTTGCAGGAACAACAACACTGAACCATCCATTTGATCTGCACCTGTAATCATATTTTTAATGTAGTCAGTGTGACATGGACAGTCAACTTGCGCATAGTGAGGAGTTGATGTTTCATACCCAACGTGAGCTATATTAATAGCACTACCACGTACCCTTTCTTCTGAGCAGCATCAGTAGAAGCATAGTCCTTAAACATATCTTTATATCCACCTGCTTCAGGTTTCGAACAATAACTAGTAACTGCAGCAGTTAATGTCGTTTTCCATGGCACATGTGACCAATTCTTCCTATATTAGCATGTGGTTTTGTACATTCAAATTCTTGTTTTGGGCCAGTCAATAAATGCTTTGATTTTTTTACTCGTTTTCCTGCCATTTTTGTTTTGTCTGAAATAACTAACGCATACTTCTATTTAATTAAATTAAACACTAAGGTAATTTTAAGGTAAAGTTATACATTCATCTGAATTATTTTATTCTTTAATAATTCTTCCTTTTTGATATATACCAGCAAATGCTTCAGCAACTGATTTTGGTGCTCCTTCATAGCGTGGAAAAGACATTGTATATGTTCCACGCCTTGCGCCATAGAACGTAATTATACGAAGCATAACCAAACGTTTCAGATAAAGGCACTTTAGCTTCAGTAACTTTACTATTACCAGGAATTCCGTCTGCTTCAATAGTACCTCTTTTACCAGATATTTCATCAACAATAGAACCATGATATTCATCTGGAATAATAACTTTAACATTTATAATAGGTTTTAATAAACCATTATTATCTTCTAAGGATTTAGAGGCGGCAATATTGGAGGCACGTTCTGAAGAGTCGACAGGGTGGAATGAATCATGATATAATGTTGCTTTATCATCAATATCTTGATACCCAGCAATTAAACAATTAGCTAATGGTTCAATTAATCCTTCCAGCACTGGTTGAATATATTCATGTGGCACATCACCACCAACAATTTTATTAACAAACTAAAATCGTTTAATTCGATTTGGTTCAAATTTAATAATAACATGTCAATATTGACCGCGACCACCTTGTCACGTGAAAAATAGCGGACAAAGAAAAGAAAAAGAAAAAATAATTGAACGCTGATTAAGGGTCTTCGTTACGACAATTATTCGATAGTTATGGGACTTGCTACTTGTGTGGTGGATAATGAAAACTTGATTGTTGTGGTGTCACTTATCAAACTATTTATTAATAATATTAATTATTACAAGGATTCTTTCTACATTTCTAGATTATTATTCATTGCACATTCTCACACGGCAAAGGGACATTCACCCACCACATGGTCGGACACACACTCACTTCTTCTTCGCGCTTCTTTTGTTTTCCAGTTTTACCAACCATCCACATTCACTCGTCACCACGCAACACCTCTCACTCAGACCAACTTAAAAGCTAAACATCCCCGCAATCACCCCTCTAGCTTTTAATGATTCGCAATGTTCATAAATGTTTTTATGTTTCCCAATAATACAGGCCCACTTAATGCGTTAGTTAAACAGTCTGCCATCATTTTTTCTTTTGGAACATGTTTTACACTTATTTTATGTTCCGCTACACTCTCTCTTATAAAATTACACTTACGATTTAACAGTTTTGATTTACTCTTAAAATTACCTCATTAGCCAACCTCACCACATTCAAATTATCACACAAAGGCTCTTTATTTATATCTTCTAACACTAGAGTCTCTGTTAGTATATTACTCATCCAAATTGTTTCTTTCACTCCTTCCACCATTGACTCTACTTTACACTCTGTAGACGATAGAGCTACTTTAGGCTGTTTTTTACTTCTCCAGTATATCAAATCACCATTATAACACACCAACATCCCACTGAACGATTTTGAATCTTCCGTAATGTCCCACGACGCATCTGTTTGACTTAATATTCCTCTTTGGTATCCCTTTGTTCCATATTCTATGCAGTAATCAATTGTTCCCTTTAAATAACGAAGAACTCTCTTCAATCCTTTAAAATGAATCATTCTTGGACTCTTATTAAATTGAGAAAAATAGCTCAGTGTAAAGGACAAATCTGGCCTTGTCGCTGTACTCAAATACATCAGACGTCCTAGTAATACCTGATACTCTATTGGATCACACATATTACCGTCCACATTCTCTCCTATTTTTTGGTTAACATCCTTTGGCGTACTGACAGGATTACAATCTTCCATTCCATAGTGTTTCAATATATTTTTAATATAGTTGCTCTGGTGTATAACAATTTTCCCCTTTTCTTGTTTCAATTCAATTCCTAGTATTGTCTTCGCATGTCCCAGTTCTTTAATGTCTATATATCTTTTTAATTTTGTCACATATACTTTCTCAAACGCATCCGAACTCGAAATCATCGGTATATCGTCTACATGTACTCCACATAATACAAATTTAGTATCCTTTCTTACATAAAATAAACATGGATCTTCCTTAGATTAACTGAATCCTACTTTCTTTAATATTCTTGTCAAATATTCATTCCAACAATGGCTCGCCTGTCTCAATCCATATACACTACGCTTCAGTTTACAAACATCATTAGGATTCTTTTTATATCCAGCTGGAACCTCCATAAATATTTCCTCCTCCAAAGCTCCGTGCAAAAATTCAGTTTTCACGTCGTAAAGATTTACCTTTCTTTGTTTTTCTGCTCCTATACTTATCAGCAATCTGATTGTCTCCATTCTCACTGTTGGAGCAAAGGTTTCCTGGTAATCGTATCCAGGACGTTGTCCACAACTCATCGCCACGATCCTAGCTTTATACCTTTTTTCCAAAGTCTCAGGATCCTTTTTCAAATTATAAATCCATTTACATTTAATGACTTGTTTATTTTTAGGTCGAGTTACCAGGTCCCATACATCGTGATATTTCATTGATGACATCTCCTCATCCATGGCCTCTTTCCAATATGCCCACTCACTAGACCGCTTTACCTCATCTAGCGAATTTGGAATCTTTTGATCAGTAATTTTAAGTGCACGTTGATTTTTTATTCGTGACGACCTTCTAGCTCCCATTTCAACATTTCTCTTTTCCTCCTCTTCACGTTGGATAAATCTTTGAACTTGTCTAATTTCACTGTCCGCCATCGTCAGTCTTCCTCTTCGCCCGGCTCGTGTTGGTTCATCCTTAATTTCTTCGGAATCTTGAATCCGTGTCTCAGTTTCACTTTCATCTCCATTATTGTCTCCCTGGTTGTCATCGTTACCATCATACGAATAATGTTCGTCATAATCTTCATTGATGTCCTGCAAAGTCATGTCTGCATCTTCACGCTCACTCCTCTCACACCCTTCGTCGTAGTTTTCGATTTGCTCAGACGTTTCTTCGTGCGTTTCCTCTTCATTATTTAGTCCTATCACAATTAGTTCTTTATCAACATCACCCTCGTCTCTAGTATCCTTATTCCGCAGTAAGTCTGACCCGTTTTTATTTTCATCAAACTTCACATCACAATCGCATCTTATTCTGTCAGTCTCCGGAATGTAAATGCGATACGTATTATTTGCTCCATATCCCACGAACATTCCGCTACTAGCTTTCAGATCAAATTTTCTACTCTTTTCATCTTTGTTTAATATATATGCCTTACATCCAAATCGTCGCATATGACTCACATTTGGTCTCCTATTGTTCCAAACCTCGTGCGGTGTCTTACGGTGTCTTACGGTGTCTTACGGTGCACGCTTGATATCATCCTATTTCTTATATACACCGCGGCACAAACCGCTTCTCCCCAGAAATATAAAGGCGTCTTGGAGTCCGACAAAATTGTCCTAGTTGTCTCAATAATTAACCTATTTGCTCTCTCAATAACACCATTACATGGCGGTGTCAACGGAGGATTCAATTCATGTTTCACTCCGTTGACTTCAAGCTACCGTTGAAAATCATTACTCAAAAATTCCCCCCCATTATCTGTTCTTAATGCCCTCAATTTTAGCCTTGTTTGACTCTCCTGCATTCTAATTAATTTCATCAATTCTTCTGATGAACAGTTTCACAAATATGCATCTGGAATAATCATCAATTACCGATAATACGTATTTCTTTTTTCCATGTGAAGATGGCTTAATGGGCCCAATTAGATCCGCATGCCAGAGATCCATAATGTTTTTAGATTTTCTATCCCCTAGTCTTTTATGCGCTTTTCTGCACATTTTGCCTTTCACACATGCCTCACATTCATTTCTTGTCACCGCAGTCATTCCAATTACCATATTTTTCTTTTTCATTTCATCAATCACCCTTTTATTAGCATGTCCCATACGTCGATGTCATATATCTGTATCGGATAAAAATGCCACCGTTTCATTATCAACTAAAAGCGATCTTACAAAATATTTATTTACACGCACAGCCGTCAACTCAATTTTATCCGGATCTCTATAAATAATTGCGCCATATTTATGAAATTTTACCGTATAACCGTGGTCAGTTATTTTTGCTACCGACAATAGATTTGTAGTCAGTTCCGGAACGCACAAAACATTCTCTAATCTTATATTATTCTTGCTAGATACCTGTTTAACTACGACATCACCTATTCCTTCTGATATTAACTTCTTACCTTTCTTATCTACCATTGTCACTTGCCCTTCATCATGAGTTAATTTATCAAACAGTTCTCTTTCGTAACACATATGACTCGTTGACCCAGTGTCCAGTAACCATGTACGAGCCTTCTTAGTGTCCTTAATAAATTCTTCTTCTTCGGCTGTTGCAAATACTGCCTCATTGCTATTTTTGTATTCAATTGGTGAAGTTTGCATCGTTTCCTCTTTATCTTCTGGGGACGATTCACTCGTTGTTTCTTCAATTGGCAGCTCCCTGGCCGTCAATACAGCTTCATCCGTAGTCCTGAGCGATACTTCTGTTCTGTTACGATTTTGTCCGGTAGATCTTCCTCGTTGCCCCCTCTGGAATTCTTTTCTTGTTCCTCTTCCATGATAATTTTGATTTCTTCTTACTTTGCAGTTAGCAGCTATATGTCCAAAATTCTGACAGTTATAGCAACGTTTCTCTCTATAACATTCATTAGCCGTGTGGCCTTCCATTCCACAATTGTGGCATCTGAGATCATTTTTCACTGTGTCCCTTGCATTTCTTACCCTTTCATGCTCTCTATACCCACTGACATCTTTTCTTTTTTCTCTCCTTGATTCCTCTTGTTTTAGGGCAAATCTTATATCATTTATTTCTAAATCACGTCGAGTTTCCAATATCTTTACATTATTATCAAATTCCTGTCTTAAACCCCTTAATATATACATTTTAATCTCAAAATTTTCAATATATTTACCCAATTGTTGAGACTGATTTTTTAAGGCTTCTGCTCTATTGATGTAACTATCAACGTTCTCGTCTCTCTTCATTTTTAAATATGTTAACTCATTTAAAGTGCGAGCCTTCAGTTCTTCAGTTTCTGCGGCCATATTTTTCTTTATCAATTTCCATAAATTGTTCGCATTCTTTTCACCGCTGTATTTTAGCACCTGTGCTTCATTCATTGTGTTAATTATAATAGCACGTGCCGCATAATTATCATCGTGGGACAAGTGTCCCACAGTCTCATTTTTTCATCATATTTCTCTTCATTTTCCTCGGGCTTCACCACAGGTTCTACATCGATCACCCTTTTCCATAGTTTTTTATATCTTAATACTCCTTCTATTTTCGCACTCCATAGAAAATAATTGCCATTATTAAGCGGCTCTATATTCGAAATGTTCCACGTGTCTGCCATATTCACACACGTGTTTTCTGAGCAATTTTTTTTTGTACAACCACGGACCTCTGCTACCAAATTGTGGTGGATAATGAAAACTTGACGGTGTCGCTTATCAAACTATTTATTAATAATATTAATTATTGCAAGGATTCTCTCTACATTTCTAGATTATTATTTATCGCACATTCTTACGCGGCAAAGGGACATTCACGCACCACATGGTCGGACACACACTCACTTCTTCTTCGCGCTTCTTTTGTTTTCCAGTTTTACCAACCATCCACATTCACTCGTCACCACGTATCACCTCTCATTCATACCAACTTAAAAGCTAATCATCCCCACAACTTGAACGTAGAGCGTATCCCTACGTCAAATATTTAATTATTAGGTATATGACAGATAATAATGAGCACATAACTTATGGCAAGGTTAAGACTGACTTTATTCTTTTATCTACGGTCTACTTATACATAAATATCGGTGGGCGTTGGCTGGTTGTGGGGATATGATGTGCGGGTTGCTGTTCGGTGATCTCTGAAAGTTTTGATGTGCATATTGCTTTCCGGTGATCCCTGAAAGGCTTGATGTGCATATTGCTTTCCGGTGATCCCTGAAAGGCTTGATGTGCGGATTGCTTTAGATGGCCCCTGGAAGTCTTGATGTTCGGATTGTTGCGATACCGCATTTCCATGATCCCTTTAAGTCTTGATGTGCAGATTGCTGGCATAATCTGATGTTAATGTGTAGATCTGCCGAGATAACGGTCGTTACAACCTGATTGATGAACAAGCTTACACTCAACGCGATCACATGCTGCTTCATTTGTTTCATATATGCAGCTTGTGGATTTCCAACGTTAGTACCTACTTTAAACTCACGTTTTAAATGATCAATTAATATGTCTAAATGTAGTTCTGCCATTCCAGAAATAATTGTTTGTCCCGTTTCATTGTCTGATGAAACACGGAATGTTGGATCTTTTTCTACAGTCTTTAGCAAACTTAAACTCATTTTTCTTTCATCAGCTTTTGTTTTAGGTTCAAGTGCTAATGAAATAACTGGTTCTGAAGACAACATTTCTTCTGAAATAACTTCATGTCTTTCATCACATAATGTATCACCAGTACTTGTATCTTTTAAACCACCAATAGCACCAATATCACCAGTATAAACCTTTTTAATTTCCGCACGACTATTGACACGCATTTGTAAAATTCGACCATCACGTTCTTTTTTTTCTTTAGTTGAATTTGATACATAGCTACGAGATTCTAGTGTTCCTAAGTATACCGTAAAAGAAATTAATCTTCCGTCAAAAGTGTCCGTCATGACCTTTAATGCCAACGCTGAGAAAGGTTCTTCATCGTTAGAATGACGTTCTGCTCCTTTTGATGTGGCAGGTAATATTCCTTTAATTGCAGCTACATCTGATAGTGAAGGCAAGTAATCAATAACTGCATCTATCATTAATTTAACTCCTTTATTTTTAAATGTACTACCATATAATACTGGAAAGAACTTATCAGCAATTGTTGCTTTACGAATTACTATTTTAATTCCTGCAACTTTTAGTTCTTTTCCTTCAGCATATTTCGTAAAGAAATCTTCATCAAAGTGAGAAAGTGCATCAAAGAATACTTCAGATCTAATATCAGCAGTATCTTTAAGTTCTTCAGGAATTGGAATTTCTTTATAATCCTCATTTGGTTTACCATCAAAATGGTACGCTTTCATCTGAATTATATTAATAATTCCACCAAAAGCATCTTGCACTCCAATTGGACACTGAATTGCATGAGCATTAGTACCAAGACGATCTTTTAATGTTTGAATTAAATGATCAAAGTCAGTACCATTTTTATCCATTTTAATTGCAAAACATTTCTTGGTACATTACACCTAATTGCTTGATTTGAAATAGTTTCGGTTTGTGTTTCAACCCCAGTTTGCGTATCTAATACTGCATCAGCTACATCTAACTCTTAATGAAAGATCCAGAAATAATTTTAATTGCATCTTCTAAACAATAAGCATTTAAGTCGGGTAACTTAATTTGCGCAATTTCTGTAATGTGCGCAATAGTAAGTGCTTCTACCGTTGTTAATTTAGCATTTGATGAACCTTCTGCCAGTTTAAATGCTCTTTTAAAAGAAATGTTGCTTGTGCAGTTTTTATTTTAAAGTAGAAAATTTTACCTTTATATACTGTAAAAAATTGCATTTGAAACTGGATTAACATCATCTAATTGATCTTTGGTTTTATCGTTAAATTCTCTACAAACACGTGGCATGTCAATATCAGGCGATGTTAAGCTAGCACCTGGTTCGGCATTACCAGCTGGTAATTGAATAATACCTTCACGATTAATTTTTTTTTTTATCTGCTGTAAGCAAAACCTCCTCAATGGATTCTCATTGTGATCCAAACGAATAAATCTTCCACAAGTTTAAACATATTTAGAATCGATATATATATATATATATATATAATAACTGACAATAATAATATATATTAATAATAATAAATAACATTATTGTAATAAGCAGTCACATATAATTTAATTATATTTTGTATAGAAATTAAATAGTTATAAACTAAACTTTAATTTTCTTACAACTACCATATTCTACATTAATTTCAGTTTGACGACGAAAAATATTTACAGAAACAGTTGCTTCACACTTATCTTCATCTAATTTAATAAATTGTGCTTTTCGAGTTTGTAAAGCACCAGAAGTAATATGAACAAAGTCATTTAACTTAAAATAACGAATGACCTTTTTTGTCTTTTTAGCTTTAGGTAGTGATGAATTTTTAGAATTACGATACAACATATCATTAACTTTCTTGGTAGAAAGTGGATACACCCTTACCACTAGATCCAATAATACCTTTAACACCTGTTTTATAACGAATATCATATCAAGTACCAGCAGTCAAAATGATATGAATAAAAATATAAGCAGAGAAAAATATTTTTTTCAGTTATTTTTTTATCTTTATCCGCTATTGCTTCTTTAACAACCCTTATTTGAAAAACATTATTTCTTAAATTTAATTTTTTATCAATTATTTTTTTTAAATCGGCAGCAACTTTATCTTCATGGCCTTTGTTACAATTAACAATATATCATTGTGCTTGCTCAATTTGATGTTTATGTGTTTCTTCTAATGATGTAGTTTTCCTATCCTTATTATATTTATTAGCTGCTGGTGGATCACAACTTGACTGTTCTGAAGTTCTATTCGTTCTTAAAGGTCCAATTTTACGCAAAATATTATATTTACTTTTTAAAGGAGACAGTTTTTCAGGATTAACTTTTGGTTTCTCTTTTGACTAACCTTCTGTACTCATGAAAACCTGTCCTAACGTGATTCCTTATGTAAAGTATGCTTTTGACAATATTCACAATATCATTTTAGTTCCATGCACTCTTAATATTTAATCCTATTTTTGTATGTGTCATAATTACGATTTAAACGGACTCTACAAATTAATACTAGTTTCTTGTTCATTAAATTCAACTAGAAATTTTATCCAATTTTAATTATATTATTATTTAGAAAAAGTGTCAATTCTGCAATATTTTTACTTTAAGACAAAATTAAATTTTAGTCTTTATGTAAAATATATAATCTCTAAAATTGTTGTACAAGAAAAATTAAAATAACAAATAAAAAGTAGTGCTCTTAAAAAAAAACGTTATGATATAAAACCAGTTTTTATTAGCTATTAATACTTCCTAAATGTGGCTGTCTTTCATTGGGTTCTATGACAACTTCTGGCATATAACTGTTAGCATTTGCTACGAATTCTTGTTCAAACTCATAATCAGGAATTTTTAATTTTAGTCCTTCTTGTTCATTTTCACCTTCAATCGTTACTAATTCTACCTTCTTATTGTCAGGAGTAAAATTATCTATTCATTCCTTAAACTTTGTCAATGCTGGTATTCAATCTTTTATTTATCCAGGTTTAACGAAGCTAGAAATTGTTTTATCAGAAAGTCTCATTTCAAACTGATCTCAATTGTTTTCTTCTAAATACTCAAATATTTCACCTGAATCTTCACTACTTAAAATACATTTATATCAAGAAAAACTTTTTGTAATATGTCTTTTTCTTTCACTAATAAATTTAATAATAACTTCTTCCGTACTATTTGAAGTATTAGATGTACTTATTGCAGAAAAATATGTATGACGAACATCCATAATTGCTGAAATTGACATTACATTTCCTGCTAAAAAATTACCATTTGTAAAGTTAAGAATTGCAGTTGCAAAAGTAGTAAGTGATTTTAAGTATTCGATAGTTCCTGTTACTTTCTGGATTAAATATAAATCGAAACCTGATATTCCACTAAGTATTTTAACTAATCCGTTTGTACCAGTAAATAATTTATTTAATGCATTAGAAGTCATTTCTGTAGTTAATTCATTAATTACAACATTTCCTGTTAATTGTTTAGCAATTGCATAAAGTTCATCATTTGGTAATTCAGTAAGAAAGGAAGGTAAATTTGGTTCTATAGTTGTACTACCAAAAGTTTCGTTTAAATTATATGCTTGACAAGTAACTTCAGCACCAAATGCTGCATATAATTTATCAACTGGTCTGCTTTTAATTAAATGATAACCTTTTCAATATTACTATCTCTAGTAACAGACTGAAGTCCTGCTATTGATAGTAGAACTCCTGCTTTCATATTAGTTCAATTTTGTGTTTTTAGTGCTCCGGCTCTAATTGGACCCTGAAGATTATTCAATGCTCTTTGTACTTCTTTTCATTTCTCTCCGTTATTCGTTTTCATTTTATTAATTCCTTCTGTAATTAAAGTGGTTTTAAGGTGAATAAATCCCTATGTCATTGATTTATCAAGACTTCTTTATGAAATTAAACTTTTTATTTTAATGACAAAATCATTCATAATAATTTATTAATAATGACACTAATTCTTCATTTGCCCATTTTTATTGAGACAGACGGTCCAATATCATTGGCGTGAGATATGGAAGTACTTCTAAGTTGGTGATATATAATGTTTCCATCATGTCACAAAAATATATAAATAACAAATACTTGTGCTTTATGTCCCGCAGAAAGTTGATTTACTGCTCGTCATACTGGTAAATGAATATGTTTGTCTTGAATTCTTTTAGTGTTAAGATTTATTTCATTATTTTTAATTGTTGTTAAATTATTCATAACATTATAAATAGTATTATCTGCAGAAATAGTAAACATTGCTGTATATAAGGAAATAAAGTTGTTTCATGAATCAGCATAATCACTTCATTTCAAGCATGTAGTTATTTCTGAATTATAATCCATCGGCTTTGCTCCATCTTTTGGAAAACTATGAATTAACATTAAATTATTATTAGAATCCAAATACTTGTCATCATATCGTAAACATCCAATGCTAATAATAATTCCAGTACTATCAAGAAAATATCTAATACTCATATTTCCACTATTATTTTTAATTGAAGAATTATTAATAACAGATTTTAAATTTGGATTAACAATCACACTATTAAAAATATTTTCAAAAATTTTCTCAATATTACTTTCATTATTTTTCAAACAACTCCTAGTAATAAACTGCTTAACAGAGTCAAAACAAATTTCCCTATTATTTTTTCCATGAGAATGAGCAATATAGTATAAACCCAACGTTTCACTGAAATCATCATAATTTGACGAAAAGGGTCAATAGCAAGCTTTTCCCTAATTGCTAAAGCAGGAGTAGCAAGTCCGTTATCCTTCTAAACAATAATCAACATTCTTCTTAATAAGGATTTATAGTCACCACTTGCTAATAACCTTGCTAAGTAATATAAAGCTGCATTAACATCACTGCCTCTAATTGATCTTTGCAACGCTGACTTTAAATCATGATCTTTGTTTCCTTATTTAGTTCTTCAATTACCTGCTTTAGGCGTAATACCATTAATAATATCAATGGTTACTGTTTCATTAGGACATAATTTTGTTAGTATTCCTAAAATATTAATTGCTTTTCGTAAATCACCAGTTGTTAAGTTGCAAATTATTTCTAAAATTTCATCCCTAATATCAAAATTAAAAAATGAATTATTAGTAATTATTTTTCTTAAGCCTAGTGACATATCTTCGTTGCTAATTTTTTTTAATTCTGATAATAAGCATCTATTTCGTAAGGAGGATTTAACTACAAAATCAAAATTTTCAGTAGTGCATATAATTAAAATAAAATTACCTTCTTCTGTATATTGTAATAATAAATCTTGACGATCAAGATTCATACGTTGCATTTCCTCAATAATAATTATATAAGGTTTAGTATTTTCAGCTATTTTAATTAATATTTCGAAATTTGCTTTTTTATCATTATTTGCAGCTTTAAATATTCCAAGTTCTCATTTTATATCATTAGCTAATACGTGAACAATAGTGGATTTGCCTACGCCTGGATTACCATAAAATATTAATGATGCTGAAAAATTTTGATTTAATATTCCATTAATGATTTCGTTTCTCTTATTTATCAAATGACATTGACCAACTGTCTCATTAGCAGTAGTTGGTATTAATATCGTTGCTAGTGGCTTATCCATACTCGTCACACTTCTTTTTCTAATATAATCCTAAAAAATAATTTTACTTTAATGCCGTGAAGTTATTTTATCAATAGAACTAAAATTAATAAAGGTTAAATTGTTATTTTCAATATTAACATCGAAAGGTTGAAGCATTTAATATTTTTTATGACCATTATATTAAATAATTATACAAATGCTTTTTAAGTGTTGATATATATGATTATTCTCGGAATCACTGATAGGTGCAATATCATTTACATTTCTTATGATAACAGGAT